AGAAAGTGCCGTTCCGGCGGCAGATGGCCCCCGCCGTGCCTTTGTTGTCACCGGTGATCATGATGACGCGGATGCCGGCCTTGCGGCACATCTCGATGGAGGAGGTGACCTCCTTGCGGGGAGGGTCCAGCATCCCCACGCAGCCCACGAAGGTCAGGTTGTTCTGGGTGGGGGACAGCCCCAGGCCCACATTAACCCCCAGGGATGCAGCTGCTTCCCTCCCCACTGTGAAACCACCCTGGGCACAGGGATTTCCCCTGGGAGGAAACTTTCAGGAGGTTTCCTACCAACTGCCCCGTGGATGCACTCTACAGCCCTAAATGCAATGGGATGGTCCCATATCCTCTGCTGCTCCACACACTTTTTTTACTTCACTCCCCTCCTCCCCATCCCTATCCCTGGTCCCCAGGCCCCCCTCAGTGATCACCCCACAGGGATGGATGCCTGGTGGGATGGGGCTGTTGGCCTTGGGGCTGGGGGGCCGTTCCCTCTGCATGCAGCTCTGCACCAGGGTTTGCAGAGGAGGAGCTGAGCCACTGCAGTGCCCAGTGGTCACAGAGAAACCAGAGAGAAAATACTGCTGGAGCATTTCAGAGAGGGTGGCAAAGCTTCAGGAATAAGGAAAAAAGCTCCTGGAGAAAGCCCCCAGTGCCGTACCTCATAGTGGACGAAGGCGGCAGAGTCTTGCAGCTGCATGGTCTCCCTGCGGACGGGTGCGTCATGGGTGGCCAGGGCCAGGCAGCGCAGCGTGTCGATGCCCATGCCCCAGTCCCGGATCCTACCCAGGATCTTCTCCCGCACCGGGGCTGTCAGCAGGACCCTGGCAGTGCCCACGCGGACGTGGGTGCAGCGCTCGATCACACTTTCTGGGGCACCCTGGGGAGGAGTGGAGGGTTAGGAGCATCTCTTGCCAGCACCGAGGGAAGTGCCGGAGGGAGAGAAGGCACCAAGTTTGGGCAAAGAAGGCGGCTATCTCCCCAGAACATCCTGGCACGGTGGCTCAGCGCACTAGATGGCAGCCTCCGACCGAGCACACGGGGACCACAGCCGGGAAGGACGAACCCGTGTCGGGTCACCAGACAGCAGAATCTTCTCTGCCGGGGATCCAACTCCTGCAAAACCTACATGTCTGCCTGGGATACTCCCGCACTGCAGATCCCCTCTCAGACCTGAATGGGATTAGGGCCAAAAGTCTCCCCTGGAAAAATGCACTGCTTGTGGGGTGCTCAACACATGCTCGTGATGCCGTTGTGATTCAGGAAGACATGTCCTTCAGCATTGGGGTCTCTCAACCCATCCCTTCTGACCTTTCAAAGGACCCCCGACACTGCTCTTTAATATAAAATGTGCAAACCCTCTATTGCTTCTCTTAAAAAAGCTCGCCCGGGACTGGCAGGGACACAGATGTGGCTGCGGAGGATCCCAACCTGACCTGGGGATGGAGTCCACCCAGAAGATCTCCCAGCGGAAACAACAATATACAAATCTCGGAGTCAGCAGGGGGAAATTCCTGCCGCATCTCTCCTCCTGGGAAGAAAATGCCCTTTAAAACACTATTTTATTTCTGGTTACAGTGGAAAGCTGGACATCAGCCTTTGGGCATTACTGGTGTCTGGAGGGTCCAAGGCTTTACTAAAGGCAATTGCCCAGGTTTTGCACAAGGACAGCAGCTCTCCCCTGGCCCCAGCACCAGCACACACAGTGCCTTTTCCTCTCTCTAAATCATGTTACCTCCTTTTTTTCCCTATCAGTACTGCAGACTCACCCCCTCCCTGACCATACCTGCCTACCTGCTGGTTCCTGGACCCCCGGAAAGCTAAGGGAGGAGACAAACTGCAAAGCATCACTGCCTGCTGCACTAAGGCCAAATCCTGCTGGGGTGTGCAAGGGGAAGAAGGATCCCGCATGGTGCTGAGGACCTTTTTCCTCTACCTTGACAAACATCTTGCTGCTGGCAGAGTTGTGGCCGGGGCCGGTGGGCGTGCAGTACACAGACATGGACTTGCGGTCGCGGGAGAACTCCAGGGTGCAATCCTTCCTCATCAGCTGCTTGATCACCTGTGGGGACAGCACAGCGCTGAGCCAGGATGTACTGGGGACAGCCATGGGGCTGAGCCAGTATGTGCTGGGGACACAGCAGCAAGTGCTTTCCACCTCAGCTAACAACCCTGCACAGCACCAGCAATGGGAGGAAAAAGGCAAACAGGAGCCAGTCCAAAAAGCAGAAGGAATTTTCCCTCTGCAATGTTTTGGGAGAACTTTAACCTCCCAACTACAGCATTGCTACCCAGCCCACAGCACATGCCAGCATGGCCAGACCTTAATTTCATTGACCCCACATGGGATGCCAAACAGCTGCTGTAGCCTAAGATAAAGCCTCATTTGCCAGAGGTAGGGAAAAAGTTCCCCGCATTGGGCTGCAGCAGCGCTGCAGGAAGGGGAATGGCATCCCACTCATTACAGTCGAGGGGTTTGCCCTGATCCTGCACCCACAGGGGTCAGTGAGAGTGAGAGCACCAACATCTCCTGGGGCCGGTTGGGTTCCCATCAAATGAAGCATTTCCACAGCTGAGACTAATTTGGCTCATTTCAGGACATGCTAATTACCCTGAGGACTGCCAGCTAGGCAGTATCCATCACCCCCTCAAATGGGTGCAGGGCAAGGACAAAGTGGGGAGCTGCCCCAGCACAGGGACCCACGGGTACCCACAGTGCCCACAGACAGGCTCCTGCACCCAACAACCCCACCGCAAACCAGGCTCTGCTACGGCTACTAATTAGTAACTTAAGGAGCCAAACGCCCAGCAAGACCACAGCCCGTCCTCCTCAGACTGATGGCCCACATCGGCATCACGGCGCTGAGCCCCGCTCCTGGGACGGCACGTCCCAGATAAAACATTCAATGCTCAGGGCATCTGGGGCCGATGCAAAGTGTTTCCCAGAGAGGGCAGCAGGGATGTTGGTGCCAACCTTGCTCATCGGGGTCTCTGCGGGACTCAACCGCTTATACAATTATTTTTTGTTGCCAGGAGGGTGTCGTTTGTGACGGGGACACAAGTAGCTTTTTGCACAGACTAATACAGCAACTTAAATCTAAATAAATCAGTGAAGGGAGCAAAGGAAAAGAAAACTTATTTTGGGGTAAAAAAGGAGATTTTTTACAACTAACGTTGTAAGTTGAACGTTAAAGGGATGGTCCTACTGCAGGGAATCTGCCAGTGGGAGCTGGGAAGGTGGGGAAGATGTGCAAAGAGGACTTGCCCCCGCAGAACGTGGGCTGCCAGCGGATATGTTGGCTGTCCGTGTTGGCCAGGTACGGCAATATGCCGTTACCAGATATGCCGGGTAAACACCAAGCGGCTCCCAAAGGCCAAACCCAGCACAGCGTACGAGTGCAGTGACTACACGTAGGCGGGAAGTTTGGAGTCCACAAAGCAGTGCCATCCCAGCTGGGCATTGCTCAACGCAGCAGCAAGGACACGTGGGAGCAGCCAGCTGCTAAGGAAACCCCCAAATCCCACCAGAGACTTCAAAACACAGAGCCACCAGCAGCAAAATTAAGGAAGTGGCAAAGAAGCGCTGCCAGGAAACTCCAAGGAAGGGTTTTTTGTCCCTGCCCAAAGACAAGAGTAAGGAGAGCAGCACCGGTGACCAAACCCAGCCTGGCACCTGAGTGGAAGGGCAGTGATGGGCACGTGTAATGAAGCAGCTGCTGGGCTGATGGACGGCCAGGAAATCCCATCTCCCTTATCAGTGAGGATTCAGGGGATTTATTATGACCCGCTCGGACCTATCTGAGAGAAGAAATGCCAGAACAGAGGTCACTTCCTCCGAGCAAGCGAAGACATTAAAAGATCTAACGGCACGATACCAAACTGAGTAAATCCAGACATGAAATAAAGTGTGTTTTCACTAGGAGGACAGGGAGACACTGGAGAGCCAGAGTAGGAGGGGAATAGCCACCATGGGATATTTTCACATTAAAAATAGATGTTTCTGAAGAAGAAGCCTCATTCAGGCTCTGGGAAATGGGGTTTGGTCCGTGCTATCTATGGAGGATGGTGCTCTGTACAAGCCGGGCACCTGAAGATTTGCTGTGGAACTACAAAACTCCAAACCCCCTTATCTGCAGCCAGAGCTTCTGGCCATCACCGAGAGGGTCTCCTCTAGCTGAGCTGGGACTGAGTTTGAGCCTCAGGGATCACCTGCTCCAGAGCTCCATGTAGGCCCAAGTCAGTCCCCACAGGCCCACCATCACCCTCCCAGGGCCACTGCACTATCTGCTCCAAAACCAGCTCAGCCCCCTGCCAGGCAGGAAATTGCATCCTTGTGGTAGATCAGTCCCTTAGGTCATCACAAGTGGTTATTGCTCAAATAACAGTCATTCCAAAACCCCCCTCTCCCTCCCTCCTCCGGGCACCGGAGCTCACGGGGGCCTCCCCCACTCACTGAATTGCAGGCGTTGGCTCGCTCCACCTTGGAGAGTTTGCTGGTGTCGGTGTTGAAGACGTTCATCTTCTCCACCAGACACGTCAGGGCTGTTTCAGTGGCTTCTCCCACCTTTTCGTAGACTTTTTTGGACTAGAGGGCAGAAGAAATAAAGGTGCTTAAGTTTTAGGGCACATTCTCTACCTGCTGCTCCCATCACCACACCATCCCAGGACTCCCAGAGCATCGCCCTGGGATGAGCTGAAGCCAGGGCAGGGGATCCTAAGGAGCACACCTCCACTGCAAAGGGGCCTGTGGTGAAGGGAAGAGCACCGCCGGTCCCCCCTCACCGCCCCAGTGCCCCCGCACCTCGTTGTAGTCCAGCGAGGAGTCGTTGCAGAGGGCGCAGATGGTGGCCAGCTCCACCAGCCCGTCGTACTGCCCGCACTGCACCGGCTGCTCGTCCTTCAGGCTGCGGGAAGAAAACAACCCCCAAAGCCTTACACCTCACCAGCTTACACGCTCAAACAACACCCAGCTTCTCCTACATACCCCTTGTAAAATTTGCTGGAAAGAGGAAGAAAGAGGCCAGTTAAAACCCAGGGCTTAGCAATAAACGCTCGGGTTCACATGTCGTGCTTTACCGAATGGGGCAGGACTAGTTGCACGTAAAATAGCTCAGGAGGCAAATAAACTCTGTAAAAGGCCCAGAATAAAGAGGGCTGCAGAGGAGCAAAACCGAGCGTTGGACCTGAAAGCAGGGGCTGCCAAGGGGCTGAGAATGAAGATGATGGATGAGAAAAGGGGCAAAGAAATCTACGTTAATGTCCACTCCCTCAGGGGCTTCCAGCTGCTGAGGATCTAGAGCAGCTGTAGGACCAGCAACAAGTCCCTTCTCCTCCAGTGATGCTGTTCCACGCTCCAGAGAGCCAGAGGGCACCCACGGGAGCATTTAAGAGCAGCAGACAAATTTAACAACTGTGGCTGTTCCTAAGCAAGCAGCGAGCTGTGGCCTTTGCTTCCTAAATAGCTGCTCTTTGCTACGTAAAGGAGCACAAACGTTGCTGGAGAGGAGCAGCCCTGAACACCCCAGTGAAGCCAGACGCTGCTTCTCGCCCGGTGGCAGAAATGGCAGCAGTGGTTTTCAGGGGGAATAAAAAAGTTATCCCAGTTCCAGGAGAGGTAACTGCAGGTTAGAGCAGCATAAACCCAGCCGGTCATCTGCTTGCTGGAAAAATAATTTGTCAGGCATTTATTAGGATCAGTTTATTCCACTGCTGGTTCCCAATGGAAAGAACATTTTGGAGCCCTTGTTACAGCTCAGGAGCGGAAAACAGGGAGCGGCCAAGAAAATCTGAAAAATCCGTTTGCTGAGGAACAAGAAGCCGTGCTGGGATGAGAGGGGGCAGGGGAGAGCTGCTGCCTCCTGCCCAGAGGATGCTGCCCGGCCCCAGGCTCATGGGCAGGGGCTCAAGCAGGCGACATCCCCCATGCCAGAGCCAGGTTAGAGCAAAGCAAGCGCTTCAGGCCCACCGGCCCGGGGGTGTCTCTCCACAACACCTAAGCAAGTCCTCGCATCCCCCTTGATGTGCAAAGGCAAGCATGGGGCTGAAGGAAAACTCAAAAGTAACATGAACTGCCAGAGGCCAACGCGGAGCCTCCCTGCAGCCAGTCCCCGGGGGAGAGGGGACACGGAACTTCAGAGGTTAGCAGAGACAAGCTCATCCCCTCAGTCCTCCTCATTTCATTGAAACGCACTGATTGATACCAGCTTATGACCTGGCTCACTTTCTAATGGAGATTTCTAGCCAAGGATCAAATTGGCTCTATAAATACTCGTGAAATTAAGTCTGAGGCTGGGATGAATTATAGTCACTCCACAGATGAGGAGAAGGGACCGCGGTGAAGAACGTGCCCAGGATCACACAGCAAAGTGAAGGGGAGTGGAGAGTGGTCCAACCACTGGCTGAGCTTCTCACCTCCCCTTCCCAGACCTTCCCCACGCTAGAGAGCATCACCACCTTTCAAAGGAAGGGGAATAAACAAACACAACAGCAGAAAACTCCATGTGTGTGGTAACACACCACGGAGACGCCCCTGGCTTCCACTGCCCTCCCCCGGCTGCAGCTCAGCAAAGCCCACGTCCCCCAGAACACATCCTGACATCAGCAGGATCGTGACCCAGGCACAGCGGCCATCTCGGCCTTCCCTGCCGAGGGGTGGGATTCGGGGAGTACTTTTCTGCCGGGGTTTGCAACCAGTTGCAAATCCCTCGACAAGCTGCCGGCAGCATGGCTGTGGGACAAGCTGCCGGACCTGAGTCCTGCTCAGGGTGGGGGTGATGGTCACCAGCTGATACTGAAAACACACAGGTTTCAGAAGTTTGGAGAAAGAGCCTGTACTGCAGAAAGCCTCATTCTTTGCTGTTCCCACACTGGCTGTCCTCTCCATTTCAAAAGCAGAAGCGTTTCATCGGGGGGGGATAAGGGAGAGCTGAGCGTGCAGGAGCCTCTTTGCTGGGCACTGCGCAGTGGGAGGGCAGCAAGTAGAGCCGGGGCACGTGCACCCCACGTCATGTTGGGCAGGAACCAGTGACGAGGGACAGCAAAACAGTTGCCCTGGCCCCTACCGAAAGCGAAGGGCGCCCACCCAACGCCTGCAAGCCCAACACAGCCAAAAAACAGTGCTCAGGGTTATCTCCCTAGCCAGCATTCAGCGCGGCTGCAAACCGACACAGTAAAACCTCCTTTCTCCCCAGGTAGCAGGATGACCTGGGGTCCCCCAGCCATGGCCACAAGCTCAACCCTCCCACCTCCCCTCGACTGTGTTGCTGGCCCGGGGCCACCCCATGTCACCATGAATGGAGGGGACCCACACTCACATCTGTCCCTCAGGGGCGTAGGTGGAGCCGGTGATGCTGAACTCGTGCAGGCTGCACTGGGTGCCCTCCACCTTCTCCATAATGAACATCTGCAAGGGGGAAGGAGGGAGACAGAACATTAGGCAGCGATTTTTTGATACAACCTACATACCCAGCCTGGAGACTCTCCAGCTGGTACCATCCCAGCAAGGGCCCTGCCATCACTGGGCTCAGCCCTCTCCCTGGGTACCCACCACTCCTGGTCATCCCTGAACCCTTCCAGCTCTCCTCTGCCTTTTTCATGTTTGTCCCCTCCAGCTGTTTTTTCCATCGGAGCGGAGCAATGCCGACTCAGTTCCTAAGAAGGTGCCTGCGTTTTACTTGGAGCAGAGAATGAGACAGGTTCAGGTTTCTGCTCCTGCCCCAACTGCCCTGGAAAGTCTCTGCAGGACAGGATCCCACCATCTGCCACTGCCACCCTTTCCCAGCCAGTTCCCAGCCACCAGCTCGCCTTGCATGATACTGGGATCACAGCTCAGCTCCAGGCACCAGCAGCTCGGTAACAAAGCCTTGGGGAGCCGTAAAAGAAGTCCCCAGTGCTCTATTTTTAGTAATTTTTGCCTTTCAAACTCCCTCCAATTTCTCTCCTGATGCTACAGTGAAAGAAACAAACCCAAAAACCCTAAAATGCAACAAAATTCCCCTTCTCCCCAAGCCCCCCTTGTACAGCCCACCCTTTGGGCCACCCTCCAATGGCAGCAAGAGCAGTACCCAACCCCAGCCAGGGTGACAGTTTGGGAACGCTCGTTTCTGCTTAATCGTTATTTATGAGCCATGCTGAAGCCAAAAGTAGCATAATAAATAAATAAATTAAATGGGTTTGATGGGTGTTTCCCCAGCTCAAGCATCTGCGAGGAGCAGGCAGGAACAAGGATGGCTGCAGGGAGGTGATGCTCCCCTCAGCTCCATGGACCTGCTTGGTGGCTCCAGAAAGCGGGTGCAGGGGCACCTGTCCCATCCACCCTGTCTCAAATTATTCTTTTCCCCCTATTTATTTTCTTCCGTTTACTGGAAATGTTCCCCAGGAGAGGAAAGTGATGGATGATGGAGAAATTGAGAGGCATCACTCAGCACCAGAGATGCAATGGCTCCAGGTACCACCTACTCCTCTCCCCTCTGCGCTTCCTCCACCAACTAACAGCAGTTAATTTACTATTATTATTAATTATTGTTAGTAATATCAGGACACCCCACAGTGCAGCTGGTTTGTAAAAGATTCCCATGCAGCCTGGTATCCCCAGGTGCAGGCGTAGGGCCAAGGAAAAGAGGTCAAGCTTGGGGAAGCATGTTTATAGCAGGTTTAGCCCCAGAACACCTCGGCGTGTTTTCTCACCTCCGTATTTTACAAATTTGGGCAAATCAAAGCAGGAGGCTCAAGGCATATGTCTCCTATGTAAACACTTTTGAGCCCAAAGCAACCTCCCCACAGCTTTGTAGCTAATTTGCAGGTACTTCGTTTGCTGGGCTACTGCCCTCAGCACCTTTCCCAGAGCCCATCCTGGAGGCCCCTCAGCATCCCTGAAGGGTCTTGAAGAAAATCATGAGCCAAAGGGTTGCAGAAGAGATGTCCCAGGCCCTCTGTCAAGGCACTGAGCTCCCCTGCCAGGAGGCGCAAACACTAGCGCATGACGGACCTCAATAAAGAGCCGAAACACGTCCTGTCTCCTTTGGTGACTGAATGTCCCCGAGATGATGGACTCCAGGAACATGGCACCCAGTTTCATACAACGCCAAAAGGGACCTTTGAAGGCTGAGCATCCTGAAGGCTGAAGCATCCGATGCTATCAGCCTTTCAGAGAGCCAGAAACTCCTGTTCTCTTCATAAAATTGATTCCTGTGCTCAGAAACGCAGACCGGACTCTCATTTATTAAGAAATCTGAAAACATCCACCCCAGCCACCAGTGGGTTTGCCTGATATGGGCTTGTTTGTTTTCAAATGCTCATGGCTACAAAACAATTACTACTTTCACAATAGCAACTTTCTTATTAAAAAAGGAAAAGGAAAAAAAAAAAAAATCATTCCAGGCCCTCTATTTTTCCATGTCTATTTAAAAAGGTGCTGTGTAACCCACAGCAACCAGAGCTTATATCAAATTTCCTGCCTGCTCCCGGCTTGCGTGACTGGCAGAGCAAGGGGGCGGCTGGGGCATTGCAAAGGTGTTTGCAGGTTTTTTGGCGTGATGTTTCGGCAGTTTTCCAGGCTGAAAAGGGAGCAGGTTTGCAGGCAGTGGAAACAGTTTGGAGGAAAAAGCTGTCTTAATCCGTAAAGAGGATAAGTGAGGTTTCCATCCCAAGAATAAGAAAAATAATAACAGAAGCAATAGAAGGAGGTGGCAAAGCTGCATGCCACAGCTCGGCTGGACAGTCTGGGGAGGCTGCTGAAGACAGATGCTCACAGAGAGGCTGCCTGACCCCCTGCACGGCCACCAGCTCCAGCATCCTGAAAGGGGAGCCCAAGCCAACAACCCTAGAGCTTCCCCCTGCTCACATCCTTGCCCTTAACCCTTTTAAAACCACACTGGCGTTTCAGGGGTTTAATGCAACGGAGAGATGGAAAGGAAACGTTACTACGTGTTCATGAAGAGCACACCCTGCTCCTCCTGCCCTGCAGATCTCGCCTGGCCCCAGCGCTGGGTCACACAGATGCTGCTCGTGTGCATCTTTAGAAAGCAAAGGGCACCCATGGATACACCCACCCCCTGAGCAGCACGTGGCGTCTGGCTGCAGGCTCGCAGGAGGAGAGATGCAAAGGGTACGTCTCCACTTTTCTGTATTTTCTGTAATATCTTTAAAAGAACTACTCATCAAAAGGCAGACAAGATAGAGTGGAAGAGTAAGAGGCTGTAATCATCAGTCATTTACCCATCAATCAGCCCACGGATCAGCACCATCTTTCTCCTGTGCTGGAAGCAGCCCTGGCCAACAGGCACCCACTGGCAGCTGCCACAGCCAGCGATGTGGCCACAGCCCTGGGAAACCCCCAGCAAGACCTCCCGTTGATTAGTGACTGGCTTAGACAGACAAAACTGCTGAATCGAGGCACAGCGTCCTGGAGATTAAAAAGCAAATTAAAAAGCACCCACAGAGCTCCTGGGCGGCTGCACCTGGGACAGGACTTTGCACATCCAGGCTGTGCTACAAGGTTTACTGAAAATAAACCCCTTTCTGCTCTGGTTCCCCCAGACACACGCCATCTCTGAGACAGCCAAACGTCACCATGAACCTCCCTCTCCTGGACAGGGGGTACCAGCACCTCCCCCTGCCAGCCCCATGCAGCAGCATCTCTGCTTCGGGTCCTGACTTTCAAACACCACCCTCATGCTCCTGGAAAATCATGTTACAGTGCATAAAAGTGTGCTGCAAGTTTTAGGGGAGTGATTTAAATGTGCAATGCTTCTCTGCCCCTTCTCGGCCTGCCAGACTCCCATCACTCCCAGCCACGAGGTTATTTAAAGGTTGGAGAAGGCTGTTCCTGGTTGCTCCGCACCATGGGCTGGGCGAGATGGTGGTCTTGGAGACCCCAGTTGACTGTAAGGAGAGCAACACAAACCAAGGGTTTAATCTGATTTCCTAAGTGGGTGTGTGGCATTACTGCAGAGCTGCAACCTCTGATGGACTCCAGGTCAGAGCAAAAGCACCAAAGTCTCGGCCACCCCAGCTGGACGAGGCCCCTGGCACAAAGCGCTTCGGGGCATCTGGGGGGCAAATGCTGGCCACGTGGCATCCATACGCATCCTGCCAAGCTGGTTCAGCCAGCACCCCGGCCACGAGTCCAGGGCACCGAGCAGGACCCAGAGGCGGCAGCACAGCCCTTAAAACACAGCTGGGAGTTTTATAACAGACTCTGAGCCCTTCAGGAGTCACTTTACAGCTCTACAGACTGATGCTGGTGGCGAGACGTAAAGGGCAAGTGCCACTCAGCAGCATAGCCTGGCCGAGCGGCTGCGCTCAGCCAAACTCAGTGTGCGAATTAATTAAATCGCACTCAATTAATACATTTTTCCAGATTATCAATAGGCTTTTATGCCTTTTTCACCCCCACAGCTGAGCCGGACGCTCGATGCCAGAGCATGTCCAGGACACGCCAACGGCCGCCCAGTGCAAATATTTACCCACCCGCTGCTTGGCAGAGCTGCTGGCAGCCTCCGTGCTGTCCGCGTCAACGCGGGAATCCCTGTCCGTTAAACATTAACAGCCGTGTCTGTGTGTCCTGAGGCCAGCCCGGCTCTTGGTATCGCGCCCTGGCAGTCAGGATTCAGCCAAGTGAATAACATGGATATTGGAAGCAGGCTGCGGGGCATTGTGGTGGAGAATACATTGAATTTTGATTTTAATTATTTTTTCCCCCAAATACGCTGCTTTGCAAATTTTAACTTGGGCTCAGTTAGGGCTGATTGATGCTAAAAGCCTCCTGAAGTGCTGCTGCCTTACTCCATCCCCCTCCCATCCTCTCCCTGTCTCAGCATCACTAACCCTGCCTCTCCCAACCGCACCACACTCTGGGAGACGGCGGCACTTCCGCCCACGTTCAAGGCATAGATCCTCTGGTAGGAAGTGGCTGGGGAAGGCATAGTCATGTCCTACCTCTCCTTCTGCAGTCTAACGAGCTAAAGAGGCCCCAAATGCTGGGGTTGCCCATTACTTGCCTCCCTGCATCACCGGGACAGAAAATGGGCTGGTGGGAACCTCCTCCTCACGCGAGACGTGTGCAGCTTGGTCACTGCCTCGCTCCAGCCGTGCCTCATCTTAAATCATTTACAGGGCAGAAGTATTAGATGTTTCCAGTCATTGGTAGTTTGTGCTGAGCAAACCAGTGCCCAAAGCTCATGGCCAGCCTGCAGCACAGTCACGGCTTCCCACCACGCTGCCGGAGTGTCAGAGAGGAGGGAGGGTGGCCAGGTCCATTTTTCCCCACAGCAACACATTTTCCAAGGTTTTCCTACAAAACTTAAGCACCAAGGCTATGAAAAAAAAGCTTTCCTGAGACTTGAGGGTTGATGGTGAAACTGAGAAGTACTTGGACAGCCCAGGCTTTCCTCACAAGCCACCTGTCCCTACAGCCAGGAATGCAGGAGCAAAGCGCTCTGGTAGACCAGGAGCCTCCAATCTCTTCCCAAACCCCGCCAGGGCTCCCTCCATCAGAAGAGCTTTTCAACCCCGGCGCAGCTGCACACAACTGCTAAGGGCAGACCTCCTGCCAGGTGAGGACAGGGAACCAAAGCACCATCACACCAGGTCCCGGGTCTCTTAACCCGTGATTGCTGCGTGAGCTCATAGTGGCCAGTTGGACCCACACACCGCACTGGCCCTCCAAGTTTTTGCCAGGCTTTGTAATTTTGCAAGGTCTGGGATTTGTCAGTGGTTTGGTTAAAAACAAGGGAAAACCAGGCAAGAGAACAGAGGAGGCTGATTGCATTGGCATCTCCAGGAGCCCTGTCTCAACGCCACGTCCCAGCAGGAAGAAATGCTCGGGGGAGGGCGGGGGAAGACTTGAAAAGAGTCTGCAACGCAGCACCTCCAAACTGGTGGGCTCATAAAAATGAGTTTTCCAGTTACAAATATGCCAAGAGAAGCCATAAACCTTACTGACCCTGGCTGGGCAGAGATGAAGCTCAGGGCTTCCTACCAACCACCTTCCATGCTCATTCTCAAATTCCTAATATGATAGAGTCTGGTGAGGACAGCAAAGCCCAGGATGGGGATGGAGCGATGCTGGGTACTCCGGGGCTTGCCAAGCATCCCCCCTACACCCCAAAACACCCCCGTCACTCACCCTGCAGACGGACATCTGGTTGGTGGTGAGGGTGCCGGTCTTGTCGGAGCAGATGACAGAGGTGCAGCCCAGGGCCTCCACCGAGGGCAGGCTCCGGACGATGGCGTTCTTCTTGGCCATGCGGCGCGTGCCCAGCGCCAGGCAGGTGGTGATGACGGCCGGGAGGCCCTCGGGAATGGCAGCCACCGCCAACGCCACCGAAATCTTGAAATAGTAGATGGCCCCCCGAAACCAGGAGCCCCCGTGGACAGGGTCGCTGAAGTGGCTGACGTTGATCACCCAGACGGCGATGCACACCAGGAAGATCACTTTGGAGAGCTGCTGGCTGAACTCGTCCAGCTTCTGCTGCAAGGGGGTCTTCTCGGGCTCGGTCTCTACCATCTGGTTTCGGATCTTCCCGATCTCTGTGTACACCCCTGTCGCAATGACAACCCCTACGGCCTTCCCAGCTGCGATGTTGGTGCCCTGGGAGGGAAGAAAAAGGCCAGAGTGAATATATGGGCATGAAACCTCTTAGACTGAGTGGGGAATGGGGTTGTTGTTGTGAAAGAAGAACGTGAGATCTTGGTTAAAGGGAAAATGAGACATCCTGGGATTTTATATAAACCCACCCTAGAGCAGCAGGAGACCTCTCCCGAGAACTCTCTCACCCCTCGAGTACTCGACTTCTGCCCGAGAGGAGCATGAGCAAGGAGGAAACCCAAATCTGCAATAGCTCCAGGCTCATCCACACACCTTCTTCCAGTCCATAATGCATCCTACTTGATGGAAAACCCGCTGAGAGTGACCAAGGCATTTAGGGGTGTCATGTGCCACAGCCCAAGGGAAATCCAAATGCAGCAGGTCCACATTTTTATGGATTTGGGTCTTTCTCATGCATGCACTCCCTTTCACTGCTCAGAGACCTCACGTGTCCATCAGCCTCTTCCCTTGGCAGCTCTTTGCAAGACCACAAGAGAGGTGGGGACAGGCATTATGGGACTTACGGAGAAAAGCATGTTCTTCTTGTCCTGGTTGACAGCCCGGGGGTCGGGGACGGGGTCAGCATGTTTGATCACTGACACAGACTCGCCTGCCAAGACAAGAGAGGGGAGATGAACCACCTATGTTTCCCCTCCAGCCTCTGCTCAATGCTGCTGTGAGCCTCCATCACAACCCCTGCAGCCTTCTAAAGCAGCACTTTGCCACCAAACCATCAAAACATCCATCATGGGGATGTCAGAGTTGGGCCAAGGCACTCTGAAGATGAGGGCTGCAGAAAAATGACCCGTGTGGATGGCTAGAGACCATGAGCTCCCACACAGCCCAAAGGGATGGGGCCAAACCCCCATGTCAGGGAGGCTGCTGGCTTACAGCACAGGTTTGCATGGCCAGGTAGGGTTTGTAGGGCAACACAACAGGAAAGGTGCCCAAAGCCCTTCTGCTTAAGGTTTGTATTTTGTTCTTTGCAAATTTGCCCTTTTGCTGCATCTCCTTTTGCTTCTGAAGAACTAAGCTAATGCAAAGCCACATTTCAAGGAGACTGGGCTCCATTCCCTGTGTTTTTAACAATTTTTCTGATTACTTTTCCTTCCCTGCTGCCATCTTGTAACAATGCATTTACAAAATCATGTGACGTGTCGCACAGGACAGCTGCATGTTTTGCAGAAGGGATGTCCAAGCACCGGGCACATCTCACCTATGCCATGACTTCTAGATGACGCTGAGACCTCCCCAGGTCCTCAGTCTCATTCTTCCACCTGTTTCCCAACCCAGCAAAATGCTTAGCTCAGTGTCAGTCCCAAAATATGGCTCGGAGCCGATGGCAGAGGGAAAGCTCTGCCTTCAGCAGCCGCCTCCGCCCCATCACAACTGCACATACCTGTGAGGATGGACTGGTCAACACGCAGGGTGGTGGACCGGATTTCGATGATCCGGATGTCTGCTGGCACCTTGTCACCAACTACAAGGGCAAGAGCAGAGCAGCTCCGTCAGGTGAGATAGGCAGTGCCCGCCACCCCAGGGAAGGGGGACAGCAAACCCCAAATACGCCAGCACAGCTGGGCTCTGCCCCAAGGCTTGAGGTTACCGGTTTGTACCTCAGTTTCTGCTGTCTCCCCTCGTTTTCTATTTCGCTTGTTCAGTCCCCAGGGCAGGGACTGGCTCCTGCTGAGCTCTGTGAATCCCCGTGTCCCTCTGTGGCACAGGCACACGGCAGCACCCAGCCTGCCGCAGCGAGGAGTCTAGCCTCATGGTAAGCCAGAGCCCTACCCTGGGATGCCTCTTTTCTGCATTCAAGGTTATTTTGTAAAATTCACACATTAGAAAAAGAAAGCTGGGAAGAGGCACTGTCAGTTGCTACTGGGCAGTGCAGTGATGGGACCTTGAGGAATTTCTCATTTTAGGGGATTACTGTGCACAAAAGCAGCTAGCCCAGGGAGCGAGCAGCAGCACTGAGGGTTAGTCATGCTGTGCCAGGCACCCTCCACCCTCTCCCACCAACCGATCGCATGTTTCAAGCATCACTTTGCTGTGCAAAATTCTGCAGGAACGAGCACTGTGCCGGCCCTGCTGCACAGGGATGCTGCTGGGGAGGTGACCTGCCTGCCAGCGCTGCCCATCGCTTTCCCTGGCTGCCATCCGAGTAAAACTAACTAGTTCGAGCCTGGTTTGCCAGCACAAGCAGCAAAGGCAGGAGCTCTGGGCGAGCAGAGGAGCTGAGCGGGCTCCCAGCGAGACCCACATCCCACCCAGTCCGGCTGCGTCCTTCGCAGTGACGTGTGCTGCTCTGCTGCCGCTCGGACCCCTGACCATCACAGGCAGCGAGCACCTGCATCCCTCCTCCTCCAGCGAGTGGGCAGGAGGGCAGGGATCTTTCCTCTTCTTTTTGGAGCGGAGCCACTGCAGTTACAGGCACAGGCGTGCGGTTTCCTCCTCCCGGCTCCTTGGCACGGAGCAGCTCTTCCTCTTGCTCCCTTATCGGCTGGACGCAACCGCGCTCCGGCGCTTCGGAAATATTGAGGCAGAGAGCGCCCTGGCTCGCAGCGCCTTACATCACGTTACACAACACTGCCGGCTTGGCTGCTAACAATCGTCTCAAATCCCAGACTTTAACGAGCGCTTCCTCCCGGGGCTGACAAAACCCTTCGGAGCGCAGCGGGAGGGGGCCTGGCACCGCTCCACCGCTCGGCCGTTTATTCCAGATGTGAAGGGTCTTGGATGCAGCGTACAACATCTGCTGTCTGGCCAGACCTGCCCTGCTCCCCATCGCACCGTTTTTTGGGGGGCTGAGCTGTGGTGTACTAAGCACAGCAACTCCCAGACCCTCCCAAATGTTTCCCTCAGACCTTGCAGCTGCTCGAGGGAGCCAGAGCACCTTAAAGGGAGCAAAGAGCTCCTCTTCCCCTCTGGGAAAGGTGAGGAGGGTTTGCAAACAACAGCTCAACCTGCAGACGAAAGATCTGTTGCCAGCACCTAAAGAGAGCGTCGAGCCCTGGTGCCACGGGGGTGGCACGCGCTCAAGGGTAGGGAGTGCGATAGCACCCCAGGCTCGCGCAGTGCGGGACAGACATCCCATGCGGACCCGACAGCCGGCAGCCAGCTATTACACGTGCGCTGATCACCCAAGCACTGCCAGTCTCCCCCGTGCTGAAAGCCAAAGGAAAGAGAGAAAAATGGGAGGCAACGCTCCCCGAGCAAAGCAGGAGTGGGCAGGTGGTGCAGTGCCTGACGCACCCCGCAGGCAGCGCCCTGCTTGTGCTTTTTGGGTGAGAGAGAAAACTGGCGCTGCAGCTGAACCGAATCCCTGGGCAGCTGGACAAGGACTCACCTCGACTGCCCGGTTACAAAAGGGGAAAAATCAGTTGGGTTGAAAGAGCTTGCCAATTTGCAACCATCATTCCCCTCTTCACTTGGTGTAGCAGGTTTTCTGCACCCTCCTGCCAAGTTTATGGCATTTGCACATGCGAGCAGAAGCCAGTCCCTCCTGCCCGCGTTGGCCCTGCTGTCCCCAGGATGTCACCTGGATGTCCACTGCATATCCAAAGCCATTGCTCCTGGTGCACTTTCCTATCAGGCAGCCTGACAGCATCCTCACCGCTTGCTATAACCTCCGAAACCCACAATTTGCTCATTAATTTGCTAATAATTTGCAAGCCCCACCCAGGAGAGGTCAAGTCAGTCCCTGCCAGTCACGACGCTGATTGTGCCGTTGAAACATTACATGCAGCCGCTCATGGGCGGGCTGCTAGCACTTGATCTGAGGAAAGGTGGCAGAATTTAATTAATTAATAGTTCATTAATCTAATTAAAGGCCATGTCAGGAGCTGGAGTGTGCTGCCGGAGCTGGGTTGAGAGCGCCACCAGCTCGCCCAGCTGAGGCCCTGGCCAGCACTCCTCTGCTTGAACCTCCCCGCATTATTTTTATGTTCAATCTTCCAGCTGAAGCCCAACTGGAAGACATAAATAACAGCGAGCTGGCTGGGCGCGGGAGGGATTGCGGCATGTTTCCACTAGCAGGGCCACGAGGAGGAAAGGAGAGGATTAGTTTTGCGGCTCTGGGGGTTTACAGCATCGTTTAATGAACAAACAAAAAGGGATCATTGAAATGCATGCTCCTTAACTCTGGTGGGGCAGGCAGGGGATCCCCAGGCATCCTTCGCTGCGTGCAAAACCCCAGCAGAAGGGCTGGAGGGGGCACAACCCAACTAGGGAGGCAAAAGCATCCTGCAGCCCATCCCCCCTGCCTCTCGCCCTCCCCAAATAACAAACCCAGTTACCA